ATTTCATCAGAAAGTATGGTTGATATGGGAAATTCAATAAAAAAGTTTAGTTGTATTTTTGAGGGCATTCTTAACTGAAAGACGGATTCTCAAATTTTCAGCAATCCTGAGTGTGCTACCACTTTATTTTAAAGTTGTGGCAGTGTGCAGTTGCTTGGAGCACAAACTGGTAAGTAATTTTTGGTGTGTCTGCAAAACATCTTTTCTTCCTTCAGGACTTAACTTGTTGAATCTCATCACTTTCAGATTGAAGCACAGTCTGGGTGTGCAATAACTGAAAAGTATTTTCATGAATGGTAGCCTCTGACAGTAGTTGCTGGAAGTTTACTCAGAATGCCAACTACATCATAAAGCTACTTTTCATTTAAGTATTATTTACTGTCTCTTGAATTGAGGTGATTTTCCTTTACAGATTTCTTCTGTGGTGTTTGAATTAGAGAATAAACTTTATACTTTGTTGCCTAATATTTTAAGATGCTCTGAAGACAAATGCATGAGGAAAACTCTCTGTTCATCTGTTTGCTTAATGACTCTATTTCAGTGAAGGCTACTACATATATGGTGGCAAAACATGATCTTGGAGAATGAAATTGGCCTTTTTGTCAGTCAGCGTGAAAATGTCTCAGTAAATTTTGCAAGATCTTTGACAGGAAATGCAGAAAAGAGGGTTATGAAGGTAGATATGGAACTGTGACATGTTTACAGCTGATCAATGTAGAATGTGTTGCAGGCCTCCTTCAGCAAATTATACACATAATTGAGGCACACATCAGAGATGCAAACTAAAAAAAAAGCAGTTTTTAAATTGCTCAAGGTATTTACAAAAGATTACTATTGGAAAGCAAGAAGGAAACATTGCTGTCGTTTGCAAGTACTCAGGAGACTTCCTGTGCTATAACAACTTAGGATTTGTAAGCATGTAGACAGAAAGAACTTGATTTTGGCTCTCAGTGGATCTTATCTGGCCCTAATGTATTTTACCAAACCTTAGATTTCCTCATAGATTATATTCCTCTGTTTTTTTAAGCTTCATCCTGTAATACATTTTGTTAGAACTCAACTGCTGGTAGTATATATGCTGCTGTTCTTTGGTTGCTTTAAAAATTTGCCCCTATTTCTTTTTCCCTATGGTGCACTATCCCTGTAAACCCAAATATTTGTGTCTTGCAAATGCTTGTTCATAAGAAATCACTTTTCTTCTTTGTATTCTTGGCGGCTACTAAAGCTCTTATGGAGATGATGTTTTCAGAAAATTTGTCAGGAAGGTCATTTTCAGATTTGCACAGCAATGTTAAGCTTCATTCATGTAGATTTCGCAGTCCATAAAGTGTTCAAATGGCTGTCCCAGAACAAAGGCAATGCCTTTAATATTGAGGCCTTTGATCTCTTTTGCATACTAATTATCAGTTTGGGCTTTCATTATGGTGCTTCTTTAATTCCTTTTTTTTTTTTTCTTTCATTTTAGTTCTTTTCCTTGGTATTTCATAATAATTTTTAGAAATTATTGTTATGTCTTTAAGTATTACATTATTGTCATGCTTTTGCTCTTACATTATACCTCAATATGATATTGTAAAATCACCAGCAGCAACCTCTCTGCATTACATCATTATTACCCTGTTATACACAATACATTTTTCTTGAAGGTAAATGCTTCTTGAAGGTACAGGACATTTATACATGAAGAGTGGCCACTATCTCTCTTTATCCCAAGAACAAGGTGAATTTGAGTGTTGGCTAGGGAGGAGATAGCACAGAAAAAGGACAAGTCTTTCAGGAAAATCTTTTGCAAAGCAGAGAAGGTCTTACTGGTGAAGACTGAAAGAAATCATTCCTATGAAGAGACAAATACTTGAGTCTAGTGACCACAGATGTTTAGGAATAATCAGAAAATGTAGATATTTTAAAGACGTGTTCATCTGATAACAGCACTTCAGTCCCTGCACCTGGAAGCATTCTAAAGAATAAGAGAACCACCAGATATGATTGTCATATGTTTTATTTTCAACAAAGGTCTGGTGTCTCAGACTTTGACTATACACAGTTCAAGGAAAGCTCTGAGGAGAAGAGATGGAGAGTTAGGATTCCAAGTGCACAGTAGGAAGACAGGGAGTGGAGAAGCTTCCTCTTTGTTTTTAAAGTGAGGCACAAATTTGTGTGGAAGCAGCTCTGTCCTTATTTCAGACTCACCTTGTGCTGCTGTGATATCCTTCCTGCTCAGAGCCCTGGCCCTGTGTTAGTGTTGCCCTTGTGTGTGGCTACTGACACTTCCCAAGCAAGGCTGCGGGACTCACCTGAAGCTCTCTTTTCCTCACAGCTGGATCACAGTCTTTGCCTTTTTTCTTGCCGTTGAACTCCCTCAGGGAAGGGTCATCTTTAACAGCATTTTGTCATTGTTTCAATGTGTAGCTGCAAACCTGACACCTATCATGTTGCTGGCTTGCTGGTCTCATTAAACACATTCCAAGATTGATTTCCTTTACCATTTCTGTCATGAGTGTTTCTTTACTCCTGTATGGTGTCAGTTAAAACAGATCAATTCCACTGTATGCACAGGGTAAAATAACTAGGGAATAGAAGCCCTTCTTTCATCTGTACAAGCAGTTTGGTCCCACATATTGACCTGTTCCCCTTAATGTGATATTAGGACTTCAAGAGCTGAGGTAGTGTTTTGTCAACATAATTAAGGCAGTTTTAGTTTCTTCCTGCACGTTTGCTTCTTGTTACCTCTTCAAGGTGTAGGCCCCTTGTCAACCAGCAGTCTGTCTGTGCCTCCTGGGAGTTATATTTGAGTCAGCTTCTCCGATCTGCTCTCAGGGGCTTTATTCTAAAGGGAAAGGCTAGGAATGTTGTGGAAATCGTTTTAGTTCAAGAAATTTAGCTTTATAGGTCAAAAGCCTTCTTAATTCTGACTAAACTGTAGGTTTGCGTTTTTGGAGGCATACTAACTATTCCATTTGTGTCGCAGTGTGACAGTCCGCCGTAAATTTCAAGGAAGTTTTTTCAGCTACGTAACTTCAATGAATGATCATGAATCTGAAGTTCTCCTTTTCAGTCCTTCAGGACATAACCAAAGAAACAAAGAGAAAACCAAAATGTGTCCTGTTCTTTTCATATGCTTAGTTTTCTTCTTGCATCTTCGCTTTGTTTGGCATGTGCTGATTTTCTTGATTCTGGTTCTGTATTTAAGGTATTAATTTGTGATTATCCAAGGTCCTTTTAATGAGTTAATTCCAAACAGTAACAATCTACTCACACAATTGTTTGTCTTTTGGGATCCAAACCTGAATTTGGAGACAGGTGTGTTCACACCTCTATGTGTTACATATCATACATTTGATGAAACTGGGGCTTTGTAACTGATAAAGAATGTGAGTGAAGTGTAACAAAAATATCTACAATTTTTACACCTCAGCAGTTTCGTCCTGAGTAGGACTGTCATTATAATTCTTTCTCTACACTTTTTTTCCCATTTAAAAAGGACAGTTACTAACTGCTTATGCCTAAGAAAATTAACAATGATATGAAAAAGACATTACTTTTTGTTTTACAAACCTTACCTCATGCAGCCACATGAGAACACTAAGAGTGTGTAGGTAATTGGCTTTCCTGCAGCCTGTGTTTTTAATTGCCTGGATATGCAATCAGCTCAAAGTACATTTCTTGTGCTCTAATGAATTTTAACATAAAGGTTTATTTCTAGATAGATCAGCATTGGGAGAGCTTTTCAGCTGTCTTATAAAAATAATTTAAAGTAACACATTGATACCAAAACTTTGCCACCCAAGAAATTAAACATAGAATTTATTATGTAATTGTGTGTGTATTTTACCTAATGACATCAAGGTGGTTTTTGAAAAAAACGCAGCATTCCCCAGAGTTTCGTTATATCATGGCAGTAGGTTGACATTGATTCAGGAATCATTATAATTTAGATAAAGTTTGAGATATGCCATTTCAGGTGAAAAAGCTTATTTAATTCTTATGTAATTTTTAATTCACTCTTTGCATTTATTTGTGACTTGAAAAAGCAAGTAAATTAAGTTCTTCTTTCATGACAGTGTTTTGGATAAAAGACATCTACATGAATGCAATATGAGGAGGGCATGTCATTTCTCATCTGAAAAAGCCCCATCTAGTTGTACTGTACAAATGACTGCAGCACAATGCATAGAGTATACATGAACATTTCATTAGTGTTGCTGCCAGAGTAAATAGGCAGCTGTTTTGAAATACCTCTGCTCTCCATATTTATAGAAGGTAATCAAACAAATGCTTGTGTTGGATGTTGTTTGGCTTTGTACCTGCCTCTGATGTAGCTATGACTGACTATGTCATTTAAACTACATGCAGCTCTTTTCCCACTTGTGAAGAGACATGATAATGGTTTTCTTCACATGGAAGTTACAAAGTCTGTAGATGGCTCAAGCTCTTGAGGAGAAAGGATTTCTATACTAGAGTCATGAAAGAGTGCAAGCATCTGCTGTGACATTGCTTTGAGCTCTCTTAATTGTCCTGTCCCACACTAATCTGCTAAGTGAACTTGTCACTAAGAGACAAATAACTTAAACTTCACTAAATAAAAAGTAGTAATTGTATTTACCCATCTTTGTCAAAAATTTTTGTACCTGCATATGCAATGAGCTCGAGGACAGCTATTTTTGTGATAGAAGATTTTGCTAGTTTGCCTCTCTCCCCACTCCTTGTAAGTCTGCATGAATAGTTATAATCAGAATTCCAGTCTGGACATATGGATGCATTTTGATTCATTTAATGCTCTTTAATTTCAGTCAAGTTTCACTGCAGCAAAGGATCCCAAGTCTGAGTCTCTTCCAAATACCTGTTCAAGACTGTAGGAGGTCATGGTGGTTTACATTCAAAGCAGGTCTGATTTTAGTCAACTGTAATGGTAGCCAACTGCCTCTGGTAACTGTGCATCATTTCTGTATTTCTGTAAGTATGTATTTGCCTGTGATACTACTGCATATGCTGTATTTCAGGAAAAGCAGAGATTTCTGACAGATGTCCTACATGAAGTGATGTTGCTGGATGGGTTGGCCAGTTCACATCCAGTATCCCAGGAAGTGCAGCAAGCCTCAGACATCGACAGGGTGTTTGACTGGATTGCCTATAAAAAGGTGAGACTAACTAAGCTTATCTATATGATGCAGATAAGTCAGGAGCTATAAGAAGATCATGTTCCATCTGTACAAGAAATACCATTGTTAAACTATGTATGGGAAACTAATATGTGTGGAATGCATTTGGAATATTCTAAAGTGATTATAACCAATTACATTCAACATATCAAGTGTTAGTAAATGTTATAAATAAACTTGGGAGGCTGTCAAAATTCACTAACAAGATTTAGGGTTTTTTAATACTATTTATTTTTTTGACAGGGTCTGAATTGTGTTAGATGCTTTAAAAAGCAAAAGGATATGTAGTTTTTGTCCTATTGAAACTCTCTAGAAAACTTACCAAGGGCTGAATTTAAATGTAAAGTTTTTTCTATGCAAAAGAGTTTTACTGTCAGCTAGTAAAAACTCTGAAGTCATTGCTGAACACTGGGAGTGGAGAAACTGCCTTCCTGTCTGGTGAAAGAATAGATATTAAATTCAATCAATTTTAAATTGCATTTCAATGATTTGAAAGTCTTCTGGCCAGTTTCTGGATTCAGCAGCTTCTGTGCAGGAGTGAGAGGGTTTTCCCTCCTCCATAACATGACTGGGCTTGCTGTTAGCACATGGCCTGAAAGCTGGTGTTTCCCACCATACCATATTGCTTATTCTCTGCTACAGGCTATGACATATAAAATGTGTGTATCATGGCCATATGTGTTTGCTGTGTGACACAGTGGCTGCTGCCTGCAGCCTTCCTGTACCGGAGCTCTCTGATGATGATTCGGTCACAAGAGTCTTTTGACTGTGGCCTTTGTGTCTAATTATCTTTTCTTCTGCGTCATTTTCTGTCTAACATCAGACTGTAGCAAAGCAGCATAGAACTGACTTGGTGACTGAACCTGCTCATTCTGGGATGAAAAAGAGGTGTTATCCTCTCTTGTAGTCATAAGCTATTCCTAGACTGCAATAACTTCACCTTGGTCTTCTTCCATGAAAGGATAATATGCCTGTAAGGATGGGCAAATCAGAGTGTGTGTATGTATGGGTATATGTGACCATGTAATAAGTACCTATGATGGAATATAAAACCACAAAATACTTATGACAAGATTTTAAAATGCTGCAGTTGCTCAAGAGCCCAAGTAACATTTTCAAAAATCCCTTAGGTATGTTGGAAAATATTGCTCTAGGTCAATTAAGCTATAACAGCCAGCAGCTTTTAGCATACTGAATATTCCCATTGTTTAAATCTTTCAATCATATGCTTTCTGGTGATAGCTAGACCTTGGTAGGTTCGGAGGCTTATCTTACATGAGTATCTTCATATTTCAATCTAATTATTTTTGCTAATTTATACAGTAATAGCACTATCTTACAGTTAACTGTAGTACATGACAATTTTATGAATACTGCAATCATCGAGTAATTTTCATTTACATTGAAATGACAAATAGGACAATAGGACGTATCTGTATACTGATAGCTATTTTATGCAGGCTAATAGGATCAGTCTGTTTTTTGTGGAGATTACAGTACAAAATTTGTCTTGTATCTATCTGTGTAAATGTTCCTTTTTCAGTAACAGTGGCCATGCCCAGTGGATACAGCAGCATCTCTCCACTTAGCTGCTCTAGTGGCCAGTTCCGCTTAGGTGACATTAGATGTGTTCATACCAGGGCATGATCCTGTAAATTTTGAGCCCAGTTACCAGACCTAGCAAACTACCTTAGGAAATGGCAGTAGCAGAATTTACTTACACACTTTCATAGGTGAGGAGATTAAAATAACCACTCTTTCACCTACGAGGTCTTTCTTTTTCCTGTCTGGTAATTTGTCTGTCTGCTATTCTCTGTAGCTGTTTATCCTTTTGGTTTAAGATACAAGCTTTATTATATAATAGGAAGCATAAAAGTTAATTAACAGCATACAAGCATATTGTTTAATGGGAAGAAACTTTCCTGACTTACTTTGTAGCTGTTCTTTTCAGTACCTTCCTTGAAACACCTTACAATGTTCCTTCTGAGGATAAATTAGAGCAAATTTAACATAACTTATATAGTTTCTTTCCTAGAAAATCTTGTATGCATGCATTCATTGCTTACACTGAAAATCAGTTTTGGAAATAAGTTTATTTATTAGATACCCAGAATAGAGCCTATTCCTCTAGCTCTCTAGTGTCTACTAGTGTAAATGCTGTGGTGAATAGTATGTCGGTAAAATCCAAACTGAAAAATTACACTGAAGCTTTCACCTGGTCAGGTGTGGGCTCAAATATTTTCAGGTGCCACAAAGCCCTTGACACACAATGAGTCCTGCTGGAGGACTGGTGTTTCTGGGATGGCTTTATGGTTGTCTTTGGTTGAGTGACTTTTTAAATTGCTGTAAATCATTAGGCTGTTGGGAATTTTTTTCTCTTGACTCTACTAAACTTTGGGTCAGGACCATCAGTGAGGACTTTTCTACGGTCTTAAATAAAATATTTTTAAAGAGTTTACTACTATGTGCAGCATCCATTCCCTGCATTTTAGATTCTTTTTCATTGTCTTTTAACTTTTTATTTAAATGTCCATCTTGTACTCCCTGAGTGCTTGCATTGCCCATGTGATCTCTATTCTCTCTTCACAATTTTCTCCATGATATTGAAATGATGAAACTTTCTCTGATGTAAGTTTTGTTCAGTGAAATGACAGTCATAGAATGTTCTTGTAATTTCATTGTCTTTACTGTCATCAATATGGTATAAATCAGACACCGTTAAAGTACCCATCTCTGCTAGACACTCAGCTGTCATTCTAAAGTCATGCCTTTTTCTACACACTTCAGAAATGACCATTGAAAACGTGCTATTTAGTTGCCTCACAGTTGAATATATTTTTCATTTCTACTTTCTCATCCTTGGTGATTGCATGTATGAAGAAATCCAGGACATAAACCACATGGCATTCAGGTAATCCCACAAGCAGAGTGAAGCAGACACTACAGCTTGGCAACACACAATGTTTTTCCACTTAAATGGTTGAGGGTAAACCTTGCCTCTTTGAAAAGCATCATGCTAGTCATTCTTCAGATAGAAGCCTGTCATCCTCCACTAGGGCCACAAATAAGTAGAGAAAAAATGAGAAGTCGTGATAGTTCATTAATAAACAGTACTGGTAGATGATTCAAGGCACTCAAGTTGCATCAGAGAGTGCATATATCTTCCCAGTGCAGCTGGAAGTGAGATAGTGTCCTCCCACGATGACGGGAAAAGTGGTTATATCCCAAGTGCAGTAGAAAATATAGCCTGTTGAACACAAGAGTAGAACTGAGAATTGTTAAATCAAAGCAAAAAGCGTGACAGCCTTTCCACACCAGAAATAACTGACAGCAGGAATCATAGCCCTGGAGAGCTGCAGCATCAGAGGAAGAGAGAGTGCAGCAAGAATACACGAGGAGCAACAATCAGCATGGAAAAACCAGCTCTAATAAAATGGAGAAACAAGGCAGCTGCATCTCAAAGGCAGCAGCCAGACCCAGAGCAACCTGAGGGAGAGCCATCTCAGACAGAACTAAAGGAGTCATAGCCCTAGATGAGCAGCCACAGCCAGACAAGAGAAGGGATGAAAGGACATCTAGGGAGCCAGATATCTGAAGTCAGTTCAGTCAGCCTGCTGCATGCTTTGAAGTGTGCTGGTTGGAGATTCTGGCAGCAATCAGTGCAGGCAAGACCATTATGATGGAGTGTAGCTATAAAAGTACCCCCAAAAGAATATGCCTTGGTAAGTGACAAACAATAATCAAAACAAGGAAGAGGATGACTGGAATAGGGAAGAATATTCATTGTTTCCTTCCATGTAAGCTAAATTAACCTCAGCAGTGAGACCAGTTACTGACCCTGACTTTATAATGCGAACAATTAATTATTTCCTAAACCCTTGTATGTATAACTTTCTTTTCCTTTTTAACTCTATTCCACATCTTTAAAATTTCCTTTTTCTTCCTTCAGTGTCAGGTGATGGAAGGAAGATTTATTTCGAATAGTAATAAAGGGAAACCATGCTTCCTGCTTCCCCTCAAAAGCAACATTCTGCATTAGGAGATCTGTTCAACTAAAACTTTACACAAAGAAAAATGCACAGCTTCCCTGCATTCTGGCAAAGGAGAATTTAAGAAATTGAAAACAGTGGCTCACTCACCCTTTTGGGTGTAATTCTCTTTGAAAATTTACAATGTAGCGTGTTCTGCAAGAATGTGGAAGAACAGGAGGGCTAATGCAGTCACTGGAAAGGCTCTCTAAAATCTTCATTTTTTTACTTCTGTTCCTCAGGCACTGGGAAGCACAATCACACTGAAATAACAAAATAAAACCAAACCAAAACAAAAACCCCAAACCACTACCCCATATTCTGTTCAGGAATAGTAGTTTATAAGAAAGCCAGTTCATGAGTGCAATGAAATTGCGATGATGTGCATCTCTGAAGTGACAAAAGAGTGGGAATAGGTCATTAACAATGAAAGAAATGCTAGATAAATCCCTAAAAATTGTACAATAGGTTTTATTTTTAATTTTTCTTTAGTTGAATTGATAGCATAAGGTGGTATCAGACTAGTTGAAAGTCTTACAATACAATAGAGATGGCTTTGGAACCCCTTCACTTGACATGGTAAAGGAAGAGCTTTTTGTTTTCCCCGTTTTAGCTGTACTGTTGTCTGTGGGTGCCATTAAGTCCAGAGGGTGCACATTTGTGTGATGCTGATTTTTCTTCCATGACTTGTGAGTGCAACAGGTCAGTGCTCAGATTGCAGAAGGTGCTTTCAGGAGCCATTTGTTCCTAATGCATTGTAACAGAGGAGGTATCTTGTAATGAAAATAATGTCTTTCTGTTCAGATAAAAAGGCTGTAGGTTGTTACTGCTTCCTGTATGAAAGTCATTGAAATGCAATCAGTGATACCAACAGGTTCAAGTTCAGAGCAGCTCCAAGAGTGCTTGTCCTGAAGTATGGAGGCTGTCCCAGTTTAGCTGGTGGCTGCCAAT